CTACTACTACTACTACTACTACTACTACTACTACTACTACTACTACTGCTACTACTACTACTACTACTACTACTACTACTACTACTACTACTACTGCTACTACTACTACTACTACTACTACTACTACTACTACTACTATTACTTCTACTACTACTAGTAGGCATAAAGTGGTGTCCAATTATTATTATCTTATATCACGTGAAAAACATATTAGTACAAACAATCATGTCAGCTTTATAGGAAAAAAATGAGTACTTATCAATACTCATTTTTATTTAATTGAATCAAATGAAAAAGGAAAATAGATTTCAACAGTATTTCCCGGTTTTAGACACCTTATCAGAACGCAGGAAAACAGTTACAGCTTAGAGTTTGAGGTTAAAATGGGCTTGTAAATAAATCATTTGGTATTATCACAGTATTTATATGACTTCATATGACAAGTTCAGTTTCACACAGAGAGAAGGCAAATACACCTCACATACGACCGGAAGTAAGGCGACAGGGGAGGTAAACTTGATAGTCAACAACGGAATGCGGACATACTTCAGAATCCCTAGTACGCTATTCATGCGTCAAATGTTTGATAATAGAAGAGATATGATGTAAAGATACTTCTGTTATCTTGTTGACATTTAAGTCAATTGAAGATAACCTCCTAATACAAATATTAACATCCACGGAATAGAAATGATGTGACTGAGTCAGACGAATCAGCGTAATATTGCCGGTATTTTTAGTTAAGGATAGCCGTACCACTGTATTGTGCGTTTTCGTAAATACAGTAACCGCCCTTCAACTTCCGTTTTGACTTTAATGTAGCACAGTTGGGCCAGGACACTTCCATTGACCAGGTAGCTCAATTGAATCGGACAGAGCGATAGTATATCAATCTGAAGTCTAGTGTTCGAATCTCGGTCTAGCCTCACTATTTTCTACTCAGTTGTTGCTATAATAAATATTTATTTCATTTAAAAATTTCTGATAAAAGTTTCGCAAGGCATGGTTTTCAATTCAGAAATGATAGATCAAAGCTATAGTCATGTCGGGTCTCCAACACTTAGTTTTGGGCAGTGGTACGGGATCCTGAACTCTGCGACTCCGTTAGTTATAGGAGTTTTAACTAACGGACCTGAGTGATCCCTGTAACTCTGTGACTCCGTTAGTTATAGGAGTTTTAACTACCGGACCTGAGTGATCCCAGTAACTCTGTGACTCCGTTAGTTATAGGAGTTTTAACTACCGGACCTGAGTGATCCCAGTAACTCTGTGACTCCGTTAGTTATAGGAGTTTTAACTACCGGACCTGAGTGATCCCAGTAACTCTGTGACTCCGTTAGTTATAGGAGTTTTAACTACCGGACCTGAGTGATCCCAGTAACTCTGTGACTCCGTTAGTTATAGGAGTTTTAACTACCGGACCTGAGTGATCCCAGTAACTCTGTGACTCCGTTAGTTATAGGAGTTTTAACTACCGGACCTGAGTGATCCCAGTAACTCTGTGACTCCGTTAGTTATAGGAGTTTTAACTACCGGACCTGAGTGATCCCAGTAACTCTGTGACTCCGTTAGTTATAGGAGTTTTAACTACCGGACCTGAGTGATCCCAGTAACTCTGTGACTCCGTTAGTTATAGGAGTTTTAACTACCGGACCTGAGTGATCCCAGTAACTCTGTGACTCCGTTAGTTATAGGAGTTTTAACTACCGGACCTGAGTGATCCCAGTAACTCTGTGACTCCGTTAGTTATAGGAGTTTTAACTACCGGACCTGAGTGATCCCAGTAACTCTGTGACTCCGTTAGTTATAGGAGTTTTAACTACCGGACCTGAGTGATCCCAGTAACTCTGTGACTCCGTTAGTTATAGGAGTTTTAACTACCGGACCTGAGAGATCCCAGTAACTCTGTGACTCTGTTAGTTATAGGAGTTTTAACTACCGGACCGGGGTGATCCCTGTAACTCTGTGACTCCGTTGGTTATAGGAGTTTTAAGTACCGGACCTGAGTGATCCCAGTAACTCTGTGACTCCGTTGGTTATAGGAGTTATAACTACCGGACCTGAGTAATCCCAGTAACTCTGTGACTCCGTTAGTTATAGGAGTTTTACCTACCGGAATTGATTGATCCCAGTAACTCTGTGACTCCGGTAGTTATAGGAGTTTTACCTACCGGAACTGATTGAGCCCAGTAACTCTGTGACTCCGGTAGTTATAGGAGTTTTACCTACCGGAATTGAGAGATCCCAGTAACTCTGTGACTCCGTTGGTTATAGGAGTTATTACTACCGGACCTGAGTAATCTCAGTAACTCTGTGACTCCGTTAGTTATAGGAGTTTTAACTACCGGACCCGAGTGATCCCAGTAACTCTGTCCACTCCAGCAAAAATATATTACAGCTTCTTGGCTAGTTAAAGAATAATTGAAATTCATGCTAACGAAGAATATTTTAATTCGCAGTGAAAATAAGTGGATCAGTAAGGCAAAATAATGGCAATCGTCGTTATATTGTAGCATAGATAAGAAGATTTTTGATGCGAAAATACAAAATCTGTTGTTATTTCGCGACGAAATGTAATTTTTACCGGGGAAAATGGCAATGATAAGCGTTGAAAAATGAAGAGTCAGGCCTCTTTAAATTGACGCAATGAGTTTGATTTGAGATCTTGTTTTGTTTGTTTCATTAATTCACAAAGAAAAGGCGATTATAATTATCGTTATTTCACTCAAATCGCGACATATATGCCACCATTTTAATGTAATTTTCAAGTTATTGACATCGGGAGATAGACAGGAAATTTTTCGACGAACGTGTACAGAAATCTTAGGAAATTATACACTCTCATATATGATTATTAGGATGCTACGACACAAGTGTTGTTCAAAAGAAAATCTTCAAGAGAGGAATTCTATTTTATTAAGAGTCAGTTTGACGAGATTATTTCGTTGTGCCAGCATAACATACCCAAGGTTGTGTAAACATTGATACGATGTTTACACGAAAATCCCATTATCATCATCCCTGTAAACAAATAAGGCGAAAGAAAACAAACAGAACTTGTGATGATATAGATAAAACCAAGCAATGTATAACAATCGATTTTAATATCTAATAATAACGGAAATTTTAACGAAGTCCACCTTCTGTTTCACCACGTGTCTACAAGTTAAAATTAAACGCATTTATCGTAGGAATTCGTATCTCCAACGCTATATTTTCTATGGAACTGGTTGGATGTGTCCCCTACCGTAAGAGAAGTGTGAAAGAAATCTGAACAACTTTGCCCGGACAGGGCTGACCTCAGGAACACAAGTAAGGCTTAGTTTAAGAAGTGATAGCGTAAAGACCCAGGACGATCTTAACAACACTAGCAAGGCGTAGTTGTAGAAGTGTTAACGTAACGGACCAGGATGATCTTAACATCACTAGTAAGGCCTAGTTATAGAAGTGTTAACATACCGGACCAGGACGATCCTAACATCACTAGTAAGGCCTAGTTGTAGAAGTGTTAACGTACCTGACCAGGACGATCTTAACATCACTAGTAAGGCCTAGTTATAGAAGTGTTAACATACCGGACCAGGATGATCTTAACATCACTAGTAAGGCCTAGTTATAGAAGTGTTAACGTACCTGACCAGGACGATCTTAACATCACTAGTAAGGCCTAGTTATAGAAGTGTTAACGTACCGGACCAGGAGGCCTAAAACCGCTAGTTAGGCCAAGTTATAGAAGTTGGACCATTTTATCACTTGTGTATGAGGTTTTGAGATAACCAACACTGCTATAAATATAAACTTTATCTATTTCACAACAATTGTGAAATAAGTTATTTCAATTTATATAAATCACTCTTGGTTGCCCGGATGTTATCGCCCGGGTGGTCTTAACGTTGGAGGAAACCGGAGTACCCCATATCTTTTCTCGTCCGATCGGGGAATCGAACCCCGACTGCCTTGATGAAAGGCAAGTGCGCGAACCACCGCACCATTCGAACAACAAAACTGCTATCATGGTCTTAGTAAGGTAATCTTTCTATACCAGCATACAACGTCGGAACGTTGTAACAATACTGATGTTTATATACATATCCACGTGGATTAGAATAACCATACCGTCATACCCACTGCTTATCACAGAGTTACCAATATAGAAAAAGTAGGCGCAGATTAGTACGACCATCATTTCGTAACACACTACAATGTAATTATATTTAATGTACCAGAGCATTTAAAAAAAGAACATTGATACAAATCTGACCTGTATCATCATGTGATTGACGTGTTTTCTAGCGTTGTCTCACCCCTCACCTGCAGACGACATCATAGCTACGGGCATATTGACATTCTGCCAGCAGCCAATCGTTGTGCTTCGTGTGCCCCTCTTTGGGAGGTATCTCTTTAGAGTGATCGTTATCAGTATTGAAAAGGATTGACAAATCTTAATCTGACGACATTGTGTAATATATATTTTCAGTTGTGAAGATGGAAACAAAGATACACAGAGCGATTTTTATAACTGGCTTGGTAAGTTATCTATTTTATCTTGGTTAGTTGTATGCCATTTCAGTATTTTGTTTTGGAAAACAGCATTTTGTGCAAATTGTGATGGAATACGAAATGATGAAATGATGGATAAACTAACTAATGAAGGCTACAGGCTTAGGTTTATTCATGCAAGATTGTCTAAATCCAAAGTGCCACTTCCAACTTTAATACACTCATAAACGATTATTAATTTCATTCTACTACGTCATAAAACCACCATATATTTTACGGTCGACCTTAACATTTGATTAATTTCAATTTAGTTTCATCGCACGTGCTAGATTGCATATCGGCCTTCACTATAACACAATACGAGGGCTTCCGAATGTTCCGTTTTTAAAATGTATCTGCGATTGTATTCAGAGTGAAAACTGTTTTGTAATTGATATATAGCTTTATATACCAATTCATAAATACTACTTTTCCTTTTGACAGAATTTCTTCTTTTTTGTTTTTACACCAGCCACAATAAAATCATAAAAGATAATATTTACTGATATTTAAACCCAACAAACGTCAACCGTAGACTTTTTTTTTATAATTTAGGTTCTTTTATCTGGTTTGAAAGTTGTTTTATATTAGAAAAGGTTCCTGCATACTATCCTATTATGATAATATTTTATCTTTCTTAGCAGACATAGTTTTCTATCATTTTGATATCTATAGCAATTCTCTAACCTGTTTTGAGATAATGTTCAATTGCGGTTTTGATATTCGAGGGACCACTTATACATATTAATAATGTGATAACTCTTTACCAGGAAATTGTCGGTGCAGATTTTCGTTAACTTTTGGCATTTTATACGCTCTACCATATGTAAAAGACAAGTTATTATCACAGCGAATATTAGTTAATAACGTAATAAACACAGTGTCATACGTATAGGGAAAAATTAACACGAGCGAATATGGATTTTTCTGGCGTAGAGCAAATGATTGACTTGGCGAAAGTCTCGGACTATATTAACAAATTGAGCTGAAATACTACACGTGGTGTACTTTCAAAGCATATGCAATGTTAAACCCAATCAGTTATGTTTCTATGTCATTATAAAATAAAATAGACCGAGAATCAAGCCGTGAGGATGATAATAATTCGGGGTTCTTATATACCGCTTATCACAACCTAGTTCTTACTTGTTTGAAAACGCGGTTGCATTCATTAAAGAGCTCATCATGAATCTCTTTTTTTCTTAGTCCTTTAATTTCACTTTTAGATAACCTGAAATGTGTTGTCTTTAAATAACAAGTAATGTATGACCACGACGAATGTATCTATCCTCCTGATATTGGAATCAAGGTTACTAGAGACTCTTCTGCATCAGCAAATGTCCCAAATCTTACAACATGATCAACCGGGACGGCCTGTTACTAAGCTGTTCGATAAGCTGAACATTTCTTTTTATTGCTTCGATCGTGATTATTTACCCCTTGCCCGGCTTGATAATAAATATATGTTTCCCCTAACTACAGTGTCAACATGTCGCAGTACTAATTCGATCGGTGTTAACGCATTCACCCCTGAATGTCATAATGAACTATTCCAACATTTGAATTGGAAGAGTTCAAATGTGTCTTAAGGGGTGAACGAGTTAAAGGGTTTGCTTTGAACATCATGATTACCATTACAGATGCCAACGGCTGACGGACAACTCAAATATGCAGGTTGAAGAAAAGTATTGACAAGTTTTATGTTTTTTTTTAAATGGTGTTAAGGTACATTTCTCTTGTCCATCATGGAATTTTATGATATCGTTGTTCCTTAGAGTGTCATGGTCTTTATCCGGCTTCGACTTGAAATTTGTCATCATTTTGTATTTTTTTGTAAGTAGGACTTGGGGATCTAAGGTTTAATTTTTACAAAAGCATCTATATAAGATAATTTATGAACCGCTTTGAGACGACCTACGAACTAGGTTGTGATAAAGCGGTATATAAGAACCTCGAATTATTAATATATTATTATTATAACTATGAAAATGTTGATGGGCGTATTTCTGTATACTCATATTTCAATGATTGATACCGCTACATCAAGTTTCCATAAAATACACGGCGAGACTAAACGGCATTTCAGGGTAAATTTCGTCAAATAAATAACGCTAGAACCGTCAATATCATTGATAAATAACAAATACATTACCAAATACGTGTGGTTTCTATTGCGTATCAAATTCTTTGTCACTTTATTGTATGTTCGTTTTATTATTTCAGTGCCATGTCCTTCTTGTGTTAGGTCATACAAAGGAAAATTCTCTCCGGAGGACATCTAGTGAGTATCTTCAACAAGATTCATGAGTTTGGAAGTATAGATATATGTTATATCTATTTTCCTTTATACACAATTAGTGTACGTATTCAATGAGTCGCAGCGTTGCAGGACCGACTGGTCCTTTGACAAGACGATATCTTCTGAGTGTTAGGTACGTTTTCTACACAGATCTCTTAATTTTGTGTTTGTTACAGAAGAATCATTTCCATTAATCTGATTATGAATCACATATATGTTCTCTGTTGTTGTTGATAAGCTTTGATAATTACACTTATGGTCTCACATCCATAATTAGGCTGAAACAGATACTGTTTGATACTTTCACACATGAACTATGATGAAATGTTATTACATAAAGTGATTGCAATTTTTTCACTATCAAACTTTGGTTATGTTGCAGATACTTTAGAATGATATCTAGATTTAAGATTACAGTGATGGTCTAAAGATTTATCTTTAACAAGAGTGATTAATAAAAGAAGACATATTTTGTTTCATAATTTTTATAAAATGGATAAAGTTAATATTTTTTTTTAAATAATTGTATTTCTTTCAAAGATCTTCCTGAACCACCGGAAGTTGTTGAAGCCATTGCTCAAACTACAACTACTATCACCATTAACATCACTGCTCCATACAATGACGTCATTACAAAATATAAAGTTGATTACGACGTGTACTCAATCCCTGTTGATGCAAACGAAAATGCTTCAAGTACTATTTTTACCACTCCTGCAACTCTGGTTCCGGGGAGCGCATACGCATTCCATGTGAAGTCAATTGACGTCGGCGTTGAAAGTAAAACTTACACTGGAGCAATAGGATATACATGTAAGTTTACAGTTAAATCACAAATACTTAGTCAACATACATATACTAGAAAAGGGACATTTCGAATCTTATCTCTTCCAACTATTCACGATAGAGAAATTTTGCTTTTGAAATGAAGCACAGTAACTATTGCTATATATTTATCACTGTATATTTGCGCGTGCATGTTATCGCACTGATTAATTAAACGCGAAACTAGCGAAAAACGTCCGCTTGTGATATTCTATAAATACAAAAATTCACAATGTCTTGGATACTCCTTAATATTGAATGTATTGATTTACCATTGCCCTTAAATATAACATTTCTTTTGTCACATACATACTGACTAATTGTCATAAACAATTTATATATCCAGGAAGATATATATAATGCACACATGTTCCTTAAATTATTTTGTCCCGAAAGCAAGTTAACCTAAAAGTGCTTTTACCTTTGTATAATTATTGCTAGCCGAATGGTTGTTTATATATACATGTATGTTGTAAAGTATGGATATCATCCAATAGACATGACGTCACAAGATCTTGTAATGTAACATTATGATATAATGTATTACATTCTATCATATCATTTTCTATTCTAAATTTAAAATCATGCATTGATTAATAAAAAGTCAAACCCAACATTTCTTAAATATCTAGGTTATGTAATAAAGCTCAGAAGAATACTATATCTAGTAGCGTAGATGAATCGAGTCATTGCGGTACATAAATAACAATTATTGTACATACGCTTACAGCGTAGGCAAATCGACATCGATTTTGTGGACAACTAGTACATATTTTACACCTTTGTGTGCATACGCTTCACTGGTCATTTTTCTGATGAAGATGACAGTGTACATATCGTTCTAGTCATCAAAACGTCACATAGAAAATCTCATTGGTTGTGTAAAAAGAACTTTTCATAATCCATACTTATCAACACGAAGATAATGTTTAGGAATACTACATCTAGTTGATGATGTTCGAAGATAATATTTTAGGACACTCACTCTATTAAAATTATCTCATAAACAATCACCATCCATTGCATACGTTCAAGTTACATAATTTAATAACAGTTTTAACGACCAAATGCAATGTAAATGCCAATTGAGTCAAGAGTTCTATTGTATAACTATTTTATTCTTATGCTCTTTTTCCACTCTCATAAGAAGACTATATACTCATTCACACAAATCATGAGTAGAAGATTTTTTTTTGTTCGTTTTTCTTTTCTATTATTTAGTCTAATTACTTATTATCAAACTGTTGCTCTTGCATTCATTTTTGATATTTTACACCAATTGGTGCTAATTTTCACACATTACTTTAAATGTTTAGTACCGAATCCCCCGCGTGATGTCACAGTGGTGGATCGGCGGACAACTCGTGTCATTCTAATGGTACAACCTGGAACAGGCCATCATGACACGTTCTGCGCAGTATACTTCAGCGTGCTACATCCTGGACAGTCAAAAAACATATCTGATAAAAGCGTGTTGCTATCTATACCGGATCTTCTGCCAGGGACCTCTTACAACATATCCGTGTTCACAATAGCCAACAATATATTGAGTACCAGAGCAAAGCTTAATGGGATGATTATCTCAACACGTGAGTTTACATGTTTTTTGTTTTGCATTTTCTGGTTCTTGGTTCCCGCTTTGGTGCTTTCGTGTCAATCACATGTTCTGAAAATATTTTTTGTAATCTCGCTATGAAAACAAATATGGGAACTATATGAATATATACAGAAAAAAATTCGCGTATGTTAGACATATAGAGGTTCCCCAATTCGAAATGTTTGATTATCGTGTTTATTTAGCTCGAATTAGGTAATTTTCAAAAATTGTATTTTCCAATTTGAAAATTAACTAATGAGAAACATGATAAACATGATAATCATGAGAAACATGATAAACATGATAAACATGATAATCATGATAAACATGATAAACATGATAATCATGATAAACATGAGAAACGTGATAAACACGATAATCAACCATTACGATTTTGGGAGCCTTTTTCTCCAACAACGTTCAATATCATATCAAGGAAAACCATGATATTCCGTAGGAATACATTATTCGTGATTCATGAATCGTGAAACAATTGCAATGCACTATGACGTCACACAGGTCATGATGATTTATAGTAAAATTTGCAAACTGATGATGTTTATTTATTCAATGAATAAAAAGTAGCTAATAACAGAAATAAAAAGTGTGGATTATTTGCAGTTTTGATTCCTAACATTTTTTCAATAATCAAATCTACAAATATGTGATACAATTTTTTTTTTTTATTATTATTATATTTTTTTTTTTTAATTTACAGTACCCAGTCCATCGAAGGTTAGAGTAACAGAAAAAACAACAACCAGTTTGAACCTCAGTGTAAAACCAGGGGAAGGAAGGTCGGTCATGTACTCCAGCCCACGTGCCCCATCGCAACATATTGATATGATCACAGAAGGTAATAAGGACCTTTGTATCGATAGACTAGTAACTAGTAACACTGTATAACCTATATGTATTCATACTTTCACACTTAAATACAATCTACAGAGTAACGGGATTCGTTCCTGAAATTATATCTTTGAAAAGTAAGTCAGGCTGTTGAATCAGTTATGTTTCACAATATGTCATTTATACTGCAAAAAGTCCTCCGTACACTTCGTGCAAAGGTGAAGAAAATGTAAGAAAACATAGGAAACCTAAAACTGAAAAAGTTTCAAACAGTCCTTTTATTTAATGCTTGGAGTAAAGGACAAATATAACGTGGTCGTTCTAACTGGCGTTTAAAAAATAAATTAAACGTAAATTATGGTGTAATAGTACAATTTCGGTTAAAAACATAATATCTATTTCGAAATCCCATGAGAATTACTTTAAAAAAACTTTCTGTTTCTGTTGAAATACTTTTTTCTAAAGTGAAATATATAATATGTATTATTTATCTTTGAAATCAATTGTAAGCTCAAAAAGAAATATATCTAATTTAGAGCTAATACAACGTAGGAACATGATAAGCGAACATCTTTCATCTTTCATCTTTTTGTGTTTTTTATTTATAGTTCAGGTCCATGACTTTTTTCAACTATTGCATTCTTGTATTTCTTATTTGTTAAATCTTTAGATGCATTAGAACTTTCCCGAATTTGCAGATATTGCTTAGAAACTACTTCTCATGTTTTGATTGTATTGAGTAAGCATATGTTATTTTTTATGGCTGATATCTTTGTTAAAAATCCGGAAACTTCAGCAGACACACAGTTAATCGCTTCGACACCCAGCGGTATTCAACAGAACGTTTCTGTAGAAGATGAGACATTGGGCGGTAAGCTTGTGCATTATTCAAACATTGTTTTTTTTTCGGAATCAAAACGGTCAAAGATGAACACAAAAAAACCATGGAATATGTTCCAATTTTTCTAAATGGATTTGAAACTGAAACCAAATTATTGAAAAGGAAATACTGGTAACGAACCGTGATCAAAAGTTCCCTATATCTATATAAAAACCCTGGTTATTTGTTATTTGCAATGCAAAACGAAGCTGCTTACCTTGATATTAATATATATTTCGAAAGAATGCTTTGAAATAATTTGTAGATTTTTGCTGAAACATATTATCGAATTATTAATCTAAACTTTACAAATATAAAAAGGGGGAGCTTCATGATTTTTCTTCAAATTTTGAAACATAATATCTTTTTGTTGTAGAAATTTGCAGCATACCCGGTTATATATCAGGTCCTGTAATGGCCATCGAAGGGAGTACTGTACGGTTTTTAGCAATATTTTCAGTAAATCTAAGCTGTGTGTCATCTTCAATTCGGCATGAAATAGAATGGTATATCGGCGACCTCAATACTAGCAATATTAGAAAGGACTCATCCAGAGTACATATACAGTCCAATTATTCTCAGGAAGAATTCCCGTGGTCCTATCTAACATTCCAGACCCTATCAGTGTTGGATGAAAGTAAGTTTTAAGACGAATACATTAAACAAACATCACCTAACGTTTGTAAATATGTTTATAATTTTGGTCCAAAAGACGAATCATCAGGAAGTTCATTTGCGATCGACTATTCAAGCATGATAGCCCAGAAACGGTTATAGAGCAAAAACAAAATAAAATGGATCGACAACATGATTTAATGAGTATTTATTTATTGTCGATTTCACTACACATATTATTGTAGCATATCTAATGTAATTAAAATATCAAAGTCCTTAATTTCAATCATTTTATGCAAATTAAATCACGTATAATTATAGCAAAATATTGAAAATCTTTCATTCTTAATATGTGTTTCTGTCCTAGAACCATTGCGAGCTTGCTACATAGGAAAATGTTACACTAAAGCTGCCATTCGTGTTCAACCATTACTACATGTTCGCATGAATCCGGCATCGGTCGCTGTGGAGGTTGGAGGTCAAGCCAAACTTTCGTGTATAGTTCCTGACTATAAAAAAATCGGCGACCTTGAATTTAAGTGGACTTTTAGTGGAATAGGAAAATCAAATGAGTCCAAACTGCATGGTAAGGTTAAAACTACAAACACATTGTAATATTTATATGTATATAATTCCCCCCTGTTCTGTTTTGGTGTTTACGTCTTTGGCTCTGCTAGAGTTGGATATTACATGATAGGCTGCAATTTGTACTTGCATATATGTAAAGAAATGTCCATGTATCAAACGTATCGGATGGTTGGATGGCACAGTGGATAGTGCACTCACCTTGTACAAAGACGGCCGCGGTTCAATCTCCGATGGGACGTGAAAAGGTATGGGGTCACCTGCCAAACCAAGTGAGTTTTCTCCGTTAGTCCCAGTTTCCTCCAACATTAAGACCGCTCGTGCTCCAACATTCGTTTGTCACAAGAGTGCGTATATAAGTTTTTGTATAACTTTTTTTATAATTGTCCTTTTATAAATAAGGTTCATATATGTTTTGTCAAAAGCTTGATTCCAAACACTAAGTAAACTATTATTGAAGTCAATAAGGGCTATGTCGTGGACTCATAAAGCATCGGCGGTATCAAACACACATATAGGTAGCCGAATTATGGTGAGAATTATGGATAACACTTTATGCTGTTGTATTTACATTTGCTCTGCATACTTTTTTATTGCAATGTATTATCAATCTGTATTATGACGTCATCAATTTCGTTGTTGTCAAGACTTAATTTGCTGTTCAAAGTGTTCGATTTAAGTATATAAAGCGTAACTACTCTATCAAAATTTAGATATAAATAATGAATATTTTAGCAAATATTGTTATGGAAAACCGACTGCAATTGTTATATGACTACTTCTCGACATGTTGAAGTCGCCTTACTTTGTTCCACCGAGCACAAACTACATTCAACTAGAAAAAGTAAAATGTGGACTTTGGCATATATGTCAGTGGTTTGGTTTATAAACGTTTCCGTTTAAAATTCTGCCGTGGCTTAAGAAAACAGTATTTCTGTTATTTCCTTAGAGCTAACCGATTTGCGTGTGTTGACAAAAATTTGTAAAGAAAATTTCGATTTAATCTGAAAAGCTATTGACGTATTCTTTGAACATTTTGACATAAGTTTTAACTTATGTCTATATATTACCACAATTGTCTGGACAATTATAACACAAATAGGTAAGTTATTCGTCTGTTCATCGTTTAAATGCTCAGATACGACATTAACCTGTAACTGATATCTGCATAGTAGAACAAAGGCAGTTAACAAATCGTTTTAATCGAAAAAAGGGCTTGATTTATGCTTATGCTTCGTATGCCGATAAATTAACTACGTTTATAAATAGCATGTCAATATCATACCCAAGCATATGATGTAAAGCGAAAAACCTTTTTTTAAAAAGAGACATCGGAAAAAAAGTTTATCAGAAAAATATATCAGAAAATGAACTTGAAGTAGATTTGTTTTCATTTCCGTCGATTAAACCTGAAATGCTTTTACAGTTTTATGACAACGTGTGCCATATTTCAAACGCTGAATTATGTTTTTACGGCTGTGCTATTTATTAAACTATATTGTTTTCCGTTTGGAAAATTCCTAAAAAATTGGAAGCTTTTCATTATATTACAGATTATCCATCGACTAAAGATGGAGTGTCCAATCTTCAACTCCAAAACATTACACAACAGCACACTGGTAGTTACACCTGTACCGTTATGTCATTTAATGCCAACACTACCACGATCAAGAAGAGTTCAAGTTTCCTGTATGTGTTTACTGAAGGTAATTTCGAATTTAAATAGTACCATTTCCAATATCCTGAAATGGTTTTATCTACTAATATCCCTCAATTCAAATTTAATTAACATTTTTGCTCTAATGAATGCTATAATGTACCTGCTAGATGAATATGTCTTGTAAACATTTTGTTGCAATCTCCATGAGCCTAAAACGACATTTTCAGTCTGTTCTACAATGAAAAGTAACTCAAACATGTATATATTAGGAGCAAAACCTCGATATAATGCCCCTTGTTTCATTTGTGACTTCGTTTACAGCCAATATCTTTCATTGTCCCTTTTTCTCGTTTTCTTTAGAATTCCTCTATACATTTCCCTCCATTTACCGTCCGTCGTCCGTCTGTTGTCCGTCCGTCCGTCCGGATTCAATAATTCCCATTAAACGACCTCTTCTTTATAATCCAAAGACCTAGATTGATAGTATTTGGTATGTAGCATACTGGGATAAATGGCTGCCAAGTTTGTTAAAATGAATTACCTTGAACTGTTTTCAAGGTCATTTGGGTCAAATTTATTAAAAGAAAAAACCGACATTTTCTGAATAACCGAAAGGCCAAGGGGGCTGATATTTAGCCTGTTATCAATTTCGTTCAAATGAATGACCTTCATCCATATTTAAGCCTGCATGGATAATATTTGTTGAAAACAACTAACGACTTCTTCTGAATAACCAAAATGTCTAGTGACGTGATATTTGGTAAGTAGCGGCTTGGAAAAAAGTACCATCAATTGTGTTCAAATGAATGGCCTTGACCTATATTTCCAACAAACAAGACACCTAGGGTGGTGTAATTTGGTAATGTATATGTTAGAGTGGAGAGCTCTGAACTATATAGAAATAAATGACCTTGAATAACCTTCAATGTCACAGGCTAACTATGTGAAATTTTGTTCAAATGAATCGCCCTGACCCAATTCCTTAGAAACAATAGCTAAAAAATTGTTAAATAACTTTTAAACAACCAAACAGCCTAGGGTTACTGTATTTTGGCATCGCAAGCTACGATATCTAGTTTGTTCAAATTAATCACATTAAACTTAATATCAAGGTCATTTGTGTAAACTTGCTAAAACGTTTTAATGACTACTTCTGAAGAAGAATAAAAGAGGCCAGGTCAAGCTCATGATATTTTGCGATGTTTGTTAATGCTTTCAAATTATATGACGTGTGAGAAGCGAATAAATGGCTATAACAACCATCTTAGTACAGATCGATAGAATATGTTCCGATCTTCCAAAAAGGTTCACAAATATTCATGGGTTAAGAGCAATAAGATATTACAAGAAAGACCCACACAATTCATAGCCTATTTTAACAGCTTTAAGACTTTCTTACTCTTTTGTTGATAAACATGTATCGTATTCAACAGGTTGAAAAATAAAAATAAAAATGAGGTGAGCTATCAAGGCCCTGGGCCTCTTGTTATATATGGAGTTTCACTAAATAATCTTTGGTGGTCGAGTGATGCAGCGGATAGCCCACTTACCTTTCACCAAGGCGACCGGAATTCGATTCCCCGGTCGGACGTGAAAAGGTGTGGGGTCACCTGCCCGACAACGCGGGTTTTCTCCGGATATTCCTGTTTCCTTCCACAATAAGACACCCCCCCCCGCGCTAATATCCGGGCTAACAAGAGTGATTTTTATAAGTTGAAATAACTTATTTCAAAATTGTTGTAAAATAAATAAAGTTTATATATATAATCTTGACAAAATCCCGCCGACGAAATTAAATAAGATACAAGATTACAGTATGAGACACTCTATTCTGTCAGGATAGTACATACGAATTGTCTCCCTTTATGATACATGCACTATGTTTTTGCCCGAGGTTTATATAATGTTATGATATCGTTCTTTTCACCTTGGTGCCTTCTCTGTAAAGGTATAATTTTATTCCATATGAGTTCTAGTTTCGTTTTTGTGTGATGAAGCTGTCGTATATTTCTTTTATATTCTACCATCTATTAACGTCGTCCTGACTTGTTTGATAGATGCCTTCACCTGCCCAAAGACGACGGATAAAAACGGTTTAGTGTGGACCAAGACACCAACAGGACAAATACTGACCATGATATGCCCAGACGGGTTTGTAGGTAGGTATGTCATGTGCATTTCCAGTTCAAAATGTTTAAAAAACTTTTCTTCATCTATAAAGGGAATGACAGCTTGCATACGCCTATATGTTTAAAACGTCACTACTTTACAAGAAGCTCGCACCGTCAACCTGCGTGATACTGTAGCATACTTTTAGTGTTTGGAACATTTTACGGCAGTAAAGTGCAGGTCACAAATTAGCCAATCACTTTTTTTGTCATGTTGATAGAAAAGAAATCAACCCTAAAGATAAGATATTAAAGGTTCATCAGTCAGCTACGTCTCGTGCTGGAACTCAAATAATTTATCCTCGGCTTGAGTGACCTTTGCCTAGATTACAAAAGATAATCTTAAATCCCTATTGATTTAACAACCGCATTAACTAACAGGAGCAAGGAATGCCCAACCTATACCCGTGAAGGAATTGAGAATAAGCAGAGTTATTTTGACGAACGAAAACAATATACTCTGTACTATTCTTTACAGCATACAATCAACGCCATATTAACATGAAAAATAGCGAAAGACTCATTTTCCTCTGGCATACATTTACGAGTATGTGCAATTAAGTTAAGCAAACGTTAACCAGAAAACCTGAAAGATTGACGACACAGAACAATTCCACTAAATAGTTTCAAAATGTGAATACATGAAATACGGAATGTGTGCATGCATAACAAAGGGGAACAGTTTTGCATTAAAAATTGGGGACAATGTCAAACCAAACAGTGAGTTGAATTACAAACACAAATATGTTATCTTTTGTGTAATCTGCCATGCCTGCAGTCAGTTCAATTTAGGTCAAATAGAAAATACGCTGTTTTCGGGTCCGAAAAACAACAAATACGGTCACCAGGGACGTTAAAAATTCCACTTAATTCGCATCTGGGTATGTGTGTCTAGGGATAATTATAGCTTAATCTTTTTCACAGAAGGAACTATTTCAATATCACAAAATTCAAATAGCCAATGTTTGTTAAACTATAAAAACCAGCACTAAACGAAACATAATTCGGTGTTTTTACAACTTTGATCTTGATCTTTGATATTTGTTATTACCCTCCTTTATGCTATTAATTATAGAAGATCATTCCGAGAACTCGCCTACAAACGACTGTAATGCTTGATTACATAAGCGATATTCAGCTACATCTTTGAATAGATTTCTGATGTACATGTAGTTAGTTCATGTGTTAAAGCAAATGCATTTAAATTGGACAAAGGAATACAACTTTTGTGCGAAACATAAGAATTTAATTCGATTTACAATTTTACTTATATTTCAGGTTCTGCAACACGAGTCTGCAATATTGACGGGCTTTGGGGGAAAACAAATCTCATCAACTGTGTAAGAAAAGCTATCGACAACGCCCTAGACCAGGTTACTGTTTTTATTCACTTATAATAGGGAGAAGAAAAAAATATAGAATTGTTTTCACGTCATTTACAAAAACATACATCATCAAAAAATAAATAGGCGGTAATTAACAGATAACGAAATTCGATTGAAGACGAAATACCACTCATATATAAAATTCAGGGCTTCAAGTGTCACAGCTTGAAAAAACACAACTAAAAGTCCATTATTTTAAAGTTTATGCAAGCTTAAAATTGGTAACAGCGGCATCGGTAATCAAGTTCACTTCTTACCCAGCAAAAGTACATTGTAGCTTTGTGCATTGTTAGACGGCCGAAAAGGATCATTTGTCTCACAAAGCGCAATCTGAATTATGGGACAACTATATACGTATTGGTTAGATTAGATAAATTGGCTTGTACATGTTTAACATTATATTGCATTATTTTGCATGTTTTTTCCAATATAACATAACCAACGGAAGTTTTGTATACTTTTTGAAACGTCTAGACTAAACCCCTTCTTCCATCAAGTTTCCTACCGTAGTCTCTCTTTTTAGATTTTACCAAACCTCACCATACTTTATAAAAGTGATTAATAGGGGTATGCTTTTTATCAAACGATCGCATCTTAAGTATTTGGATTAAAGATGGATGCCATAAACTCTGATTTGTCGATACATTTACAGATATAGCTGAAGTTGATTGAGTCGATATATTTTTGCGTAAGTTATGCATATGAGGTGCAATTATATTTTGTATCGAAATACCAATTAAACTTTGGAGTTATAGATGGTTGATGCTACCGTGGATTTAACGAAACATTTACAGCTTAGATATTATATATATCAAGCTTATTCCAATGGTATTTGATACAACATACCTGAATTGTTGATTGTAGAGAACCTATGTACTAAACTCGTTATCTTTTCAGGAAGACATTTTATATCATTTTGAGATCCATGTAAAGTGACGTAAAGGTTATCATTCGAAACATCTGGTCACCGTCTCCTATGTTGTTGTTTTAAGGAGGGTTGTGCCTTTGTTTATCCTTTGACTCTGATTTGTACTCACACTGTGGCTGCAATAAAAGGAAATATATTTTACTCAAACACAAATCAAGCTCAAGTTCAAGTTTGAACTCTAAGGAAACAAATGATATAGCCCTTAACAATATCGTTGCTTTATTAGATCAATGGGATAAAAGATGGTGTAGTCGACCCCAGTGAGATCAACAACGTTTTAGACCTTTTAGAGAATACAACATCAACATCAAATAGAAACAGCATTGAACTATCGTCTGGAGATTTAAGCGCGGCCTACGCTGTCCTCAACGCATCAATTGATGTCATCGATCAGCATTGTGTGTCTCCAAACGTAACGCAGGCAAGTTATAATCCTGATTGATTCTTATTATCTTGTCAATTAAGCTAATACCTATATTTCAAAAATAGTAAACAATCCCAAAATATATTATTTTGTAATGCCTTAACATTCATAAAAGGCATGATAAGACCTCATTTGAATAAGTGTGGCTTACGTTTATCTGTTAAAAAATGCATAATAAATTATGCTATAGACCGTGACAGGTTTCCATGACGTTGACATAGATAAAAAAAGGGCGGAGCAATGCAAATATTTGAATTGAAATGCATGCACATGATTAAGACACAATTGTGTGACGTCATCACTGGTAGATGTAGACGGAAGTATCTAAGGCTTAAACAAGGCTCAGGCTGTTACTTGCTTTTTAACTGATCGCAGGTTAATACATTTTATTTTCCTCCACTGGTAAGACTGGTGTATAAAATATTTCTGATCCATACAAGAAAAATACTGTAAATGTAAGGAGTAGTTTTCTATTTTGGTCAGGTTATTGAGGTGATACTTGTTCTGTTTTGGTCAGGTTATTGAGGTGATACTTATTTTATTTTGGTCAGGTTATTGAGGTGATACTTATTTTAGTTTGGTCAGGTTATTGAAGTGATACTTGTTTTAGTTTGGTCAGGTTATTGAAATGATACTTGTTTTATTTTGGTCAGGTTATTGAGGTGATACTTGTTTTAGTTTGGTCATGTTATTGAAGTGATACTAGTTTTAGTTTGGTCAGGTTATTGAAGTGATACTTGTTTTAGTTTGGTCAGGTTATTAAAGTGATACTTGTTTTAGTTTGGTCAGGTTATTGAAGTGATACTTGTTCTATTCGGGTCAGGTTATTGAGGTGATACTTGTTCTATTCTGGTCAGGTTTTTGAGATGATACTTGGTCTATTTTGGTCAGTTTGTTGAGGTGATACTTGGTCTATTTTGGTCAGTTTGTTGAGGTGATACTTGGTCTATTTTGGTCATGTTATTGAGATGATACTTGATCTATTTTGGTCATGTTATTGAGGTGATACTTGTTCTGTTTTGGTCATGTTATTGAGGTTATACTTGTTCTATTTTGGTCAGGTTATTGAGGTGATACTTGTTCTATTATGGTCAGGTTATTGCGGTGATAGTTCAAGATAAGCACGAGTAAATCTATCACTGATGGCTAGTACTCCATCTTTCCAGTTTACACTTCCTCAACATGACTTATCACCCCATAGCCTGAGCAAAATAGAAATATGCTTCCCAATAGTGTAACGTTTCATATAATTTCAGAATTTTGTAAAAATTATCGACAATATGCTGTCACCCGCTAATCATGAAACATGGACAGATGTCAACAAACAGGTAAGAATGTAATACATAATACCAGTACATTAATACATATTCATTTATATTTCTAGTACATTCATTTTATTCATTTATTTCTAGTACATGAATGTACATTCATATATATCTAGTACATTAATACATATTCATATATTTCTGGTACATTATTACATATTCATATATTTCTTGTACATTTATACACATCAATATATATTTCTAATACATTAAAACTTATTATTATATTTCAAGTACATAAATACATTTTCATGAATTATACATGTTCAACTGTAAATATATTTTTAGTATTTTGATACGTATGATATATTTTGTTTTCAAGTAACTTGATACATGTTATATATGTAGTTCTATCACACTGATATAACACATCACATATGTTTCTCCCATAACCATATTTAAGGCTCTTCCCTATTGAGGCATTAAATAATTATACAAAGTGTTGTTGAAACGGACATAAACACGAGATAAATTGGTAAAGAAATTGCCTGGGTCTTTATAATCGGTTAATATATTTATTTTACTTTTGTAGGGTATTGCTAAAAGTGATTAGTTATTTGAGTTATAACATGCGTCGTGTGTTTTGAGTGGAATCAAGATTATCTAAATCGAATATTTGATACCTGATAGCATTGCATCATCAGTTTTACATTTTATGTTTAATTTATTTTCGTTGACATTTTATCATTTATTTTTAGCACAAAAACTACCTAAAAATAGTTTCATATTTCATGATGATATTTGGCCTTGGTTTCTCCTTGATATTAATTTCAATTAAGTTTCATTGTTCGTATTACACCTTACTTATAACCTGTGAAAAAAAAAGTTGTTTATAGAATGTAAAATTATTTTTCAAGTCATCTTCAACTGATGCAAGTAATCTGATGAAAACAGTAGAAAAGCTAGGGAATGCTGTTGGGAATAAGATTTCCGTAGGCGAACAAATTATCATCGAAGGGAGCAACATAGGTAAATATTCCCCTAGTTTGTTTGATAAACATTCCCTAGTTTGTTTGATAAATCCATTGATAGGAATATATTTATGATGTATTTATACAGTACAATACATACTTGTACGGATTTTGCATGGGAACGACCCATTTGGTACATAATGATTTCAATATCCTATGTCTCTCGTCAATAATAGTCGACAAGTTTTACAGCTAAATGTTCATTCGCTGACATTTTATTTTGGGAAATTCGATCACGCTTGTTTTGTGACATTAATTTTCATTGGTCATTCAACACAGATTATTGCTTGATTATGTTTGTACAGTGATAACTACGGAAAAATAAGTTATAGAGTTAAGCATAAGTATGATAACAATTTTTATCAATTTAAAATCTTCTGAAGGCCGGAATGGGGGCACGGAAATCCACATTAAGGGAACTTGTAGTCTTGTATGGAAATTATAACAAAGGACATTCGGAACCACTCGTAATATACATAGGGAAAGTGAAAGCTGCTTTCGATATAGTACTTGCGATATAGCAGTCAAACGTACGATTTATGTCGATTTTCTGTTAGAGGTTACTGCGAAATATTCATGAATTGATTTGGCGAGGTAGAATAGAATTAATTATGTATATTATAGTCAAGTGTATTAAAGGAATAAAGAAATAATACATAAAATAAATGACAAACACGAATGCCCGAGTTATTAATTTTGCACAACATTTTAAAATTAGAGAGAAACATCCATATATGATACACACATGACAGAAAATTATTTTTAAATTATAATCTGGAATTTCAAAACCGTAGATTTATATAACCTGACATTTGACGTTCATGTTTCAAAATAGCTTATTTATTATCCTTTTTATCTGTTTCAGCTGTTGAAATCAAAAGCATTTCGAACAATAATATATGTTTTAGACCAAAAATATCATCTAGTAATTCCAATTTACAAAACGAAATAACGCTTAACCTCGGAGACGGACACACTGGTGAGTTTTTCCATGTCCTTTAAAGTTACGTCAGTCATAATATACATTTCATTTATTGTTGAATCGGGCTGCTGGATGTTTTTATCACAGGGGACTTCAAGCAGCAATATTGCTTGCTAATCACAAGATTAACTTATTTATCATCTCACATTTATTCAATACGTTTCGTATGTTCTGTGCAAGCCTACAGAAACACGGTCTAGTTACGGCTACCTAATTGCTATATCCAAATGCTCATACCTGCACTAGATTGCATACGATGTTATAGTAAAATGTCGGATTTATCATCATTATGGTTTTGCTTTCATTTTATTTATTTGTCATTCTTCATCGTATCTCTCTATTTTTTGGGGGAATTCAACATAACTCCGTATACAACAACAAAGTTGTATCAACATGAGTAGAATTCTGACGTTATATGTTTTATTCTGAGATGGCGTTAATATGAATAATACAGATCCGCCTCTATGTTGAAAACGGAATCATTGGCTGATAACGGATATGATGACAAACTGGTCACATTAGAAACTTTTCCCCCACGTGCCTCTTACAAACACACCACAGGACAATATGTTCAAAATATCCGGCGTAACAGTTTTTTCTGCATTGTTAGGTTCCACATAATTTGCATATTATTGTTTTGGTATTTTCTTTTCATAGAGTCTATCACAGATTTCCATCACCTTCCCATTATAATAACTTCTCTGTTATGTCGTCTATATTTGATATTTTATACCAAATAATTTCATTCCCTCTGATTTTCTCTTATTATGAGTAGGCATCTCTTAAACGATACCTCTTTTCTAATAAGTTTGATGATATAATCATTTAACATATGATACTCGACAGGTGGTGTTACTTTCACCGCCGCTCTGTATGCTACCATTGCGAGTATTCTTCCTGATAACAGGTAAGTTATAAGCCACAAATCTTTGTAAATGAAAGTATGTAATCGGTCTGTTGAACGTTATATTGGTATTTGACATTTTTTTAGTGCAAGAGTTACTAAAATACATGTATATTATATATGCATCCATACAACAGACGGTCAAGAAATGAAAATGCACAATATTGATTTTATGAACGAAATCAAAGAGGATATAAACAACATATATACATTGTATATTTCTCTTGTTTTTGCAATGTACTGCGAACGGTATTTTCTAAACCCGTTTTTATTTTTGCAATTCTGCTCTTGATCTAAACGGAAAATTGAATTCCAATTCGAAAATTTGTATCGAAAGTTTTCAACTGTTTTGCGTAATTTTAATGTATAATGTATAATCATCTAGCTATTTGTAAAAAAAACCCCATTTACTGTTTTGTATCATTTGATATCTTTTTCGAACTCAACATTCTCATGTTTTTTTCTCTATTTAGTGTGGCTAGCGGATATCCATCAGAAGTCCTTGCATTGTCCGTTATCAACGAACACTCAGTTGAAGGCAATCTTCCGTCCAATGTCAGCCTGAAATTTGACACCGACTCCTTGCGCTCTGACGTATGATTTTGCACTTGAAATGACTCCAATTTTGCGATATATATCTTAAAGATACCGTGCCGCTAATCTGTGCTCTTTTTTCTTATCAGCAGGATACGATTAGTATCCCCAAACATAAAAAAGCTATCAACTTTCCGTTGATACCACAATCACGATGTGAAATGAGTCAAAGATATAAAGATAAAGACATGATTTTTTTTACTTGCGTGCCATAATGAATTCGATGATACACATAATGTCAGGCATGCCCCAATGGCCCATTTATCATTACGATATCGCTTGTCAAATTTTGGCACGTTTCCTCTGTTATTACGCGTATGATCATAATTAATATTTAATTATGAAGTCGTTAAGCATACCAAATGCCATAATAGATCCTAATCAATCAATATGAAGACCTCTGTATGGTCTTAACATTACGTCTGACCAATAACCGGCATTCGTTGAATTCTGCCATCGTGCCATCTCGTGAATACGCGTAAGCATGACAATAACATAAACATGATTTCAGCTCTGCGTCTAGTAAGAAAAGTAACAGTAGAGAAAAGGCTTCGCACGCTTATACTTGACAAACCTTTTTATAACCGCAGTTTTTGTCTGAGAGATTGCGGCACGGTAACTTTAACGATTAACTTAAAATGTTTTGAATGACAGGTAACATATTATGTAGTAAATGGGTTATTTTATAACTGATAGTGTTTTGGATCTAACAATAATGTAAAAGATATACCTATAATATCCACGTTAAAGTAACATTTTGTCAAAAAAACACCTAAAAATCTGTTGTGGTGCTGACAGGTACCAATCTTTTGATGAAAAGAGAAGCAACTTGTATTTTTTGTTAGTATAACGTTTCGTTAATATTGAAGATAAATTCGTGAATTGTTCCGCTTAAAATTTTCTACCCGAGTTTTGTCTTTTTGCATCGCTTACAGAACAACCTGACGGGAAATGTCAACATCAAATGTGTTTTTTGGAACTTCAATGACACGTACGTAAGATTATTCAATAACGATTAAAATACATTTAGTCTATTCAATTATCAAATGGCAAATATGCATGTAAGGCAGTAAAGGGAGATTACTCAAATACGAAATGAATTTGTTTAAGTTCATCTGATACAATATGTGATTAGGCAGACCTATTTAATCATATTTTCATTGTACATGTAGTTGTATTTACACCACTTGAAGATCGTTTATTCTTATACGGTTTTTTAACCAATGATGGGTATTTTTAATCAAAAACCAAAAGTAAACATTTCTTTTCTTTGCTTTTCATCATGTTGCCGCTTTTTCAAACTTTATCTTGTTCAATGTAATGAAACGTGTGCTATCAACCACATACGGTACAATAACAAGTAACGATAAATAATTAATAGGTAATAAACGATAACTGTGATTTCTACTTTGTTTCTTAGTAACTTTATAATCAAACACAGAAATTGCTCGAATTAGTTTATGAAACCTCCGCAATATAGTAAGATGAACATGAACGTTGCAAAAGCAGGGGGGAAAGGCAATTAAATATCAAAATGAAGTAAAATGCCATAACACCCTTTTCGTTTCCACTTTGTATTGCAGGGCTGGGGCTATCGGTTGGTCAGACGTTGGATGTATGTGGTCAGCAGAGAAAAGGACATGTCTTTGTAATCATCTGACCAACTTTGCTGTTTTGATGAGCCCCATAGAGATAACAGTAAGAATTTAATTAAAACAATATTTATAAATATGTTGTATGACAAATAGAGAGTCTATATTCGAAAGGTCGCTGCCTCTTCGTGAATCTATTTACTCCAAAAGCTGCTTAAGGATAAAATATACAAGAAAATCATACCTTCCATTTAATACATTTAAAATTACACCTCTCATTTGTTTTGTTAAGCAGTAAATACTCATCGCTTAATGAAGGAAACTATTTTTCTTGGTCTCTTATCATACTCTGTTGGTACTGATGTGCATGCCACATATCACTCTGGAATGATAACAAATCATATGTTGACGTAAATAAGCTTGAATAGTTGATATATATATTTAGTTCATCAGCATTTGAAGAATATTTCTTTAACAGAAGATGAAGTATCAAGCATATTTTCCATCTTATCGGACCGAAAGCAATATTTTCCGTATAATTTTCTTCAGAATGAGCTTGATATTGCCCGTTTACGAGTTATAACCCTGGCAGGGTGTAGCCTATCCATCCTTTCTACGGTCGTTACTATGGTGGTGTACATGATGTTATGGAGGTAGGCTATATTAGTTTTGTGGATAAATGTTAAAGGAATACAGCTGCATGACTTCGTAAGGTAAGACTGACGTCAAGTAAAGGGAAATACGAAGATCTTTGTAAGTTAGAATGGATGTTCAAACTATGACTGCTAATGGCTACGGTTTGCATTTAATGATATTTTAATAAAACTGACTAAAAATATACTGCAACCTGCAATTTTCGGAATCTTTGTGGTGTAAGTATGTTATTCAGCAGTCAACACATATGGAACTATTTAGTATTTGGAGCTAGCAATCAAATTCCTAATAACGACTTTGGTGTTTTCGTTGCGCTTATGTATTTGTGTATGAGTCCATTGGAGATGGATTTTTTTTTATATTTACAGGTACGTAAAGAATGACAGGAGTATTTTAGTGGTGAATCTATGTGTCGCAGTAACGGGCGGTTATGTCTTATTCCTGGCTGGTCTTGACCAAACTGATGATAATGTAAGTCAAACTGTGTGTTGTACATGTATTGTCAAGGTTGTGAAGAACTTAAGTTAGATAAACATGGCAAATTCAATAAACTTTAAGAATGCACACTTCGAGATAAACGGTGAATTCGTGATATCTTTATTCGTATTAACAAGGTCGACTTTAGAAATAACGTGCTTGCATGTATATAATCTTTCACATATGAAAGAACAATGAAATTACAGCTTCTTTTTGTGAGGTGTGGTACAATTCAATAATAATGGATTTTATTTCTATTTTATTCCATTTTCGTTTTCTCATTACAGGTTGGGTGTACGGTTATTGCCGCTCTCCTCCACTTTCTTTTTCTGGCTATTTTTTGTTTGATGCTTTCGGATGGAATACAGCTCCTCCGAAGAACAACGGTAGTCTTGAATGTGAAGTCGATTCTAAAATGGCTTCTACTGATTGGCTGGGGTAAGTATGAAGTCTTTGACAGTTAACTGTAAGTAACCGTTTGATCCTACTTAGAGTGGCTTCCCTTATATTAAATGACAATATGCTTAAGTAGCCTGCTCATTGTAAGCATATACGGAGGTGTTATACCGCAGTGTTACTATTATCATCATCGCAAAGTCGTGATAATTTTAGATTCCGTATTACTAAGTGTCATCTCCTCCGTAGAAACAAACCTGCCTCTCCTGTTTATGAGAGAGTTTGCGTGTCACTTCTGAATTGCTTTTCCTAAGAATGCAAGAATCATAACTTTATAAATAGATGTGTCTTTTGGCCTCACGTTATTGATTTCTTAAATTTTGTGCATGATACATTTTGCATACTGACATTTCAATACAATACATGGACTGATTTGTCCAAGTGTATCAAACGCCGGCTTTCCACGTACAAACAGAACAAAATATATCACAAAAACACACGTATGCCTACACACATTGAGGTATTCACCAGGTGGCATTTGACTTGTTGTTAGCTGAGACAGCTCCTGTGAGAAGTATAAATTACTACAGTTGTGTGACCGCACAACGCACCAAAAAAAAAAAAGCGTGCTCCCACCGTGCATACATCGTTTACACACCGTCCGCACATCGTCTACACATGGTGAACACAACTGTGCGATTTAACAATCATTCGCCCCGTTGTGCGCTTCTCTCCGCACAACTGTGCGATTTAGTACAATTTCCAGATCAATATTACGGAATTTTACCTCGCCTGTGTCTGACACATAGCGCTGATATGCGATACCGTAATGAAAACACAACTGGACGTTTAGTATTTGTTATTTGCGTTCGGTTTGCCTATAGCTCCCCTTCACCTGGGTTTTCACATCCCCGGCCCTACCCGACGAGTTATGTAAGTGCCCCGGGCGGATGGAAACTAATATCCAGGTACATGTACAAAGTGGCTATGTTTACCTGTAAACGGGACTGTGTTGTATTTTACATGTGTCGATTAAGGTCGTTGTAAAATTACCGAAAAGACAATTTCTAAATTTAAGAAAGTATAGACAGAACGATAAGCTTATAGATGTAGCTAGAATATAGAAAAATACGTAAACATCAAGTGTATATGTTTACACATGAAACCGTATATATTGTTAAGGCATTCCTCAATTCACACCAACCACGATTGTTATCGCACAACGTTTCGTCCATCGTGCGCACAAATGTGCGCAAGCAATGATCGTCCAACTTTTATCATTCGCACATCGTGCACAGATCGTTCACACACCGTGCACACATCGTGCACACACCGCACAGCGTGTAACGTTGTGCGATCCCGCAACGGTATATTTGTATTAATTTTGATTCTATTTGCAGTGAAGCGCTAGAGAATTGAGAACTCTAACTAGATACGGTGCTATATCAAAGATTGTATTTTTATATATCTGATTGTATTTGCGAGAACATTAATTAACATGTCACACAGCGTGCAAGTTATGTAATTTACAATAATAGTTCAGTTTTTTTTTTAAGTTTGCTTAACGTGGTATAACGCGAAAATAACCTAAATATCACGTAGAAGTTATCTACAGAAACTACTTAACGAACGCATTGACCAAGTGTGTCATCTGCAGCAAGTATTTCGTCAATATAACAACACTGTATGTTAAAGCTAAAGTATTCTTGGTTTCTTATGTGTTTTAATTAGTTCAATACGTATTACAAACTGAAGCTATAAAGAACTTCTGTTGTTATAGAAAGTGAAAAAAATGTTTTTTGTTCTGTCACTCACTTTTAACTTCCTGTTTTGCCTGAAAGGTGTACCAGCAATTATCGTTGGAATAACAGTTGGCATTAAACATGATGGAGGATACCATTCTAAGAAATAGTAAGATCTTTTGTTTTTATTTTGTATTTAATTGTGTTCTATATTTTATTGAACGCTCTTATCCTTCTATGTTAATAGAATCTATCTGTGTGTACTTATGTCTTAGCGTATTAGGAAATATCGACAGGTAGTCAAAATTGATGCACCCACAGTTCATGTAATAGAAAACCATATACAGAAAATTCAAATAGTGCAATCATTTTATAGCGAAATATTAAAATCACGAAAAGCGCTAAATATTTTATAGCACGTTGCAATGTTTTTGTAGATATGCTTTCATCAGGTTCTCCACACTGTGTTCAAATAGCAATTATGATATATTCATTTGTATATGGATGTAAACTCCCTCTTTCTATTTTTGAACACATCCTAATTTGTTCTTGCTCTTTGATCGGGGATGTTTAGCGTTTGTGTACTTTAACTCAATATTTTAGATTAATTAAATAGATCAATTATAAGATTCGTGATATCAATATTGATGTTTTAGCTGCTGGCTGACCTTGAAGGACGGTGTATTGTATTCCTTCGTTGGACCAGTATTGGCAGTAATTGTGGTCAGTTAGTTAACAACTCTATTTTAATTTCATTGTCAACTTGTTTCAATTTTATCGGTATATTATGATTGGTCAGTTTCAGATTTACCGTATCTTTACATGGATTATAATTTTGCGATCTAGACATGAAAAGGAACTAAATTTTCGCGGTGAAACAAAATTAATGAATGTGAAATATAAGCTATTTTCAAACATTGCTTTATTTGTATATGAATCGATACAACTATGCTTGTCATATTATTCTGCGTATCATAGTTTTGCGATCATATTATTGACCCGCAAAATCATGAAAATATTATCCCCGCAGAAATATCTTGCTATGCGGTATTTATTTATTGAAAATGTATTCTCAATGATAGTATTAATACCAATGATCAATAAATCCTATTTTAGTTCTGGGATAAGCACAATGTCTCTTGATAAGGTTTGGGTATAGTTTGATATTTACTTAAGGTATAACATTGACATGTTCTCAGAACTACTTTGAAGCAGGAATTTATGAATCTTTCAAATGCATTTTTGCCTATCCTGTAAACAGATTCCGTATATTATTTTGTCTATGTTGCTACTCGTATGTTAACGATGTGATGAACAAATTGATGAAGACTTGTTCAAAAAGAATCAGCATAAAAAATTGATAGAAAATTAACATTTTATAAATATTCTATTATTATATTTATACATATAAAAGATAACCACTTGATCATTATTCTTCGGAATTATTATTATCAAAATTATAACACTTATCCAGGACAAGATAAAAAATATAGAAGGTCCGCGCAAGCCCTCCATCTTTCCCTCCCCCCTCCCTTACCCCGCTGACCAATCCGAAAAATGCTCAAAGGACCATGACCTATAACAGTAATTTGAGTTTTATATTTTTATATTTTTCAGGTCAATGTTATTGTGGTGATTCTAGTCTTGAAGGCATTGCTGACCTCCAAGTTCATTATGACGAAATCGCAGAGGCAAAGAATTGTGTAAGTTTAACTGAATAATTATAAAGTATAAAAACATAGAATTGTACAAAGTCAATATATATATATACTCTTTGTAGACTATTTTCAGGATCCTACCCTTCTTCAGTCCTAATAAGAAATCTTTGTCGTGCTTTATTTATATTCATTTTTGATGATAACGTTCACGCATAAAATATATGTCATGCATGCTATCATTTAAAATGAACATGAAGAAATTAAAAAAACAAGGTTTCCTCAGTGTGATTGAAGAACTACTGGAGACCGAAACCCGAAAAATTTATACAAATTGTGTTAATATTTCATAAAGAAATGTTTCCCTACGGAGACTGTTCAAACATATATAAATATGTGGTATACAAATTAGGACATAAGATGAAGATACCTCTTGATGAGCTATTTTCTTTGCATTGACCAAGTTGTCTGTTTTACTTCGTAACATGGACAGTTTCCATCTTGCATGTTTGGACTCCGATGGTCTCCGACACAATCTGAACGTCTCTCGATCATTGACGCTTCACCCAATGGTGAAGTTATTCGATAGTCCGGTGGCACGTTGGTGAGCGCACTCGTTTTTCACCAAGACGGCCAGGGTTCGACTCCCTGATAGGACACCAAAAAGTAGTTAGTCGACCATGTTGATTTTTTTTTATTTATTTCTGGGAAAAAGATTAATTTGATAATCAGAGACGTGTTTTTACGCTCGCAATATACAAACATATTGTTAGTTTGAGATATAGTAACAATTGGTCAGAAGAACATCACATGACAAATGGAGATAAATCATTTAACTTCAAAAGTTTTTTTACCCATTGGTCTATTTTCAGGTCTGCTATACGAAGTGTATGTGTTCTACTTCCGGTTTTGGGAATAACGTGGTTTTTCGGGATATTATCTATCAATGGGGATCTTTTAGCGTTCCAGTATCTCTTTGCAGTCACAAATTCATTGCAGGTATTTAAACATATCAATTATTAAAATGAATAATTATTATATAGAACAAAATAAACATTTTATTCTGATCGTCCTTTAAAACTTGTCTGATTTTTTTTTGTGAATCGACATTGAGTTATATTTGAAATTTACATCAGGATTGTAGTCTGATCGACTTTTCATGCAAAAGCGTTTTCAAGTAATAATATCTTTAATAGATATCAGCAAAGTTAAAAAAAATGACGTTTCTTTATCATCACTAAAGAATGTCTCCGTGACTGTGGGATACCTTAGATCTACGGATGCATTCATGATCACTTCTATTTATTGATGGCAACTTGCATATTGGAAGCATTCTCATGCAATTAGAATGAAAATGTAGCAATAAGAAAGAGTAGAGAGATCTCGAGGAATATGAATGACTGGTCAGATTTATTTATTTCAATTTTACTTTATATTTTCAGGGTTTCTTTATATTCCTGTTTCACTGTATCTTCAGTGTTCCGGTAAGCACAACATATGTTTCCTTTGTCAAGAAGCAGTGTATTTAATTGTATATCACATGGCTTCCGTGCTATTAACACAGAAAACGTCAATGATGTTAGTATCAAAACAAGGACGACATGACGTCATGAAATAGTGACGTCGCATTAATTGACTAGACTTAAATCAATATAGTGGAGTTTAACATTTCATGATGGTTACAGAAAGCATTCTGTTCCTATAATAAACCATCTAGAGTAGCGTCCATCAAGCTCAATGAATAGACACTTTTAACATGCCATTTTTATAGTATGTAAGTCTAACAGATATAGTCATAATAAATGAATAGTAACGGAATTTGGTCCTTTTCACTTTATAAAACATATTAAAATAAAATATTTATTTATAATTATTTCACTCAGCAGTGTGCTCGACTAAAGTGTTCACGCCAGAATTTTACTCAATTCTTATTATTCTGGAATTCATATTTCAAATTATTTTTCTTAATTATTATCAATATATTTTTCGTGGTATTCGTGATAATTAATAACCATCTGTTACATTTGAAATTCATTGTTACATGATAATGAATTGATACCGAAGAGTGTTCCCTCTTTTAATCAATAATGAAAATACCGGATAATATCATGCTCCATAAGAGAATTGAAGCGACGGATACATATCCCGATGTGGCTTCATTCGCTTGTTATGTTTGTTGGTTTAGGAAATAACAAAGAGTTGGTCGTAGCTTTGTTGCTGAAATTTATTCTTGAACGATTTACTCGAAGAATTGATAGAAAATGTAGTATATGTATGTGTAATCGCAAAACGATGAGACTTAGGGTTGTATAGGCAACTTTTCCCTTTCTTGGTATTTCTTCATATGTTCCGTTGATCTTAAGGGTCCAAAACTGGACGAAATGTCCATATGGCACAGTAAGGTTTTATTTTGTTTATGTTCCTGCATCGATAACTTTAAAAGAGTTGTTTTCCTACTTCTTATTTTTAGTGACTGTAATACAATAATATATCGTAAAACGCATTATTTAAAATAAAGAAACTATAACTGAAAGGCGCTAATTCAAAGTTGATTATAACATGATATATATCATCCTTTCAGGTTCGTCGTGCCATGAAACAAAAATATAAGAAGTTTGAATTAACATCAAAATCGGACAAAACACAGGTACAATTCTTTACTGATATCAATTTGGGTGGGTTATGATTGAATCATCCATGTGTATGCAGTTTTTGTATTCAAAATTTAAAATAAGACGTTTCCATGATGACTGTATCAAGATTCGTGTATGTAAAGACTAAATTAGTAGCTAATCGGTGATCACCGCACGCGAGAAAGATTCTTTGTACAACTTTTTACCTACAAACTACATGCGGTTGTTTCCCCTACATCGACATACATTGACAAAAATATCCTTATTAGATAACAATGGGATGACCGGTGTTATCTAAGGCCATTATAGCTGGATGCAGCGTCAAGTTATGTATTACTGTGACCAGTTGCTTCTTTATGAAATTAAATCGAGTAACCCTTGAATATTTTGCGCACAGATCGGACTCATATGTTATAGTTTTCACTACAATAGTTCGATCTGATAAAGTAAAGTATGTTCCCTGTCATGATTTTGTGACCATCCTGTTATTCTGAAAACGAAACAAAACATTTATAGCAGCGTGTTACAAAATGTTAGACTTATGTTTACAAGTTACCGGCCAAAATATCGCCGTAGAAAAAAACCCATTTCCATTGCATGTTTGATTGAAATTAAACTGCAGTATAGTAAAATATAGCATTCATATTTGATTTACAGGTTACTGCTACGCGTTCATCCAGATACAGTGTTGATGATGGCATCGGTAAGTACAATAATCCTACTATGTGTTTTGTCGTTTAAGTCCAAACAATGCACCATACAACATCAAGTAAGCGTTTGAAGTAGCAATGAAGCAATATGCCACAACGGAATGAGAAAAAATGCTATCTGTACCAATATACAATGTGTTTTATAATATTTTAAAGTATGTTGTTAATATAATAAAAATGTATTTTTGTATATATATATAATTTAAATTTTCTTGTGTTGTTGATTAAAGCTTCCGCGTTATTGCCAATACTTTTTAAATTTCCACCTAGATAGATGTTAAATTTCCAGTACAAGATACCAAACATGTTCTATTTCTTTCATAGGTGATCCGTATAAAAATGGAAAAATTGACAGACTGTCAGTTTCACATCATCGGATTTGAATGTATGTATACTTTGCTAAAAATATAAAATGAAATTTTTACACTGCATAGCCATATACAATAAGAAATCAGGGTACTGAAATTATTATATTGAGAAACGAATATAAAAAAAATATTTGTATTGTACATTGATTGAATTAAAAACAATCGATTTCCCGTATTTATTATCACTGCTGGTTTCCTAATTAGAATGTAACGAAATTGAACAGTTTTGGTGAAAACGTAGTTTGTTTCCATGGGAAAAGTTCCGTTATTGGCATTAATTAGAGTAGCAGTTATGTACTAGCGGAATACATATCGCAAACAGAGAATATAAAAAATGGGGAATAACAGTAAAATCAACGTGAAAACACGTGAAAAAATAATCTCCATTAACAAGAAAACAGGAAAACGTCAATGTGTATCAAATCATTGTTATTTATTGAACGATGCTGTCCTTTACAGTTGTCTTATTTTGTTTATTTTTCAGGAGCATTCCGATGAAAAGCTCTAAAAGCACCAAATATTGATCCGAAGCGGAGATTTGTGATATCGACTTTATTTTAGCCATTTTCATTTCTATTGAGATGTCTTTCGACAAACTCTTAAACATTACAACAAAGCCAGAAAAATTGTTGAGATAGATGGAAGATATTTTACAAAATGGATTTTTTGTTTTTGTTTTTGTTTTTACATTAAATCCTATATGTGAATAAGACCATACCGATTTAAAAAAAAAGTGTTATAAGATAAGTATTTTCTCGTTAACATTTTTACTGATGTAATTATCTTAATTACTTTTTTGTCAATGCATTCATGATGGTATCAAGATAAAAGACAAAATAAATAAATTAGTAATAAATAAATAAGTATATCAACAAATAAACCATGAACAGTAATACCATGAGTTACGTTGGATAAAGCGGTTACCGGGGAAGTCCTTAGAGACAATTCAAATGTATTCAACATGAATCGATACTACACCACAGTAGTAATCAGTATAACTTTAGATAAAACCAATTCACTTATTAAGATTTCCATATTACGCAATTGCATGTTGAACTGAATTGTCCTCAACTGAATGGAAGTCTCACATATGATTACTCAAACAGTTTCTTTGTCAGATTGTGCGAATCTGACAGATCTAGTGCACTCTTCAGTGCTTCCATCTTGACGGCCTTCACAGTTTTACTGCCGTCACCAGACTCGAGACTCATAGCTAGCACAGTGGAGTTTTCGTCAACTATACATGGGCTTCCCATTTCACAGGTCAGGCAAACGTCGGTGAAATTTTCAGGTGATTCTGAACCTGTAGACAAGCGTAGTCGCCTCGGTGGTCGTCTGAAAATCTTTTTTTCCAATTTGATGACAGCAACACCTAGATCTTCGTCAACGAACTTCAAAGATTTCAGACGAAATTTCTCTGTATTTCTTGACTTTGTCACCGGAAACTCAACATGTCCGTCCATCTTCTTTGTTGAGGCACGTTCTAGAAAGGGAAAAGAGTAAGATTTGAAATTGAATTGACCAATTCTTATCACACTAAGGAAAGTTGAAGAACTTCACGGGTTCAAAACAATTGTAATTCAATGATCATGTTTGTTTATTTATATGTATTGAATAAAATGCTGCGCTCCACCATGAATACAGTATGCAACTTGTATATACAGTAAAAACGCGTTTAACTTTTTATCTCTCATTTATTTAAGAATAATGCAATATTATCCTCATTGGTGTAGTCAGAGTCTGGTCTGTGGATGATGAGGATCAAAGGTGAGGTTCACAAGGTTACCACAGATTGAATTTAAAAGAAAGACAGGTCTGACACAATAATAGACGTTAAACGGAGTCTGAACCAAGTAGCAGTAGCAATGGTCTGATCAACCATGTCTATGGTTAATAATTATTACGTATTTAACAAACTCATTAATTAAAGCAGAAAGCTAAACAAAGTTAACATTTACTGAACTGTACTGATTATTTCGTCAGCTTCGTACGATATCATGTAGAGAGTTAATAGTTTACAAATAGTTACCATATTGATCATTTCGTCAGCTTCGTACGATATCCTGTAAAGAGTAAATAGTTTACAAATAGTTACCATGTTGCATTGCTGCACTGGCTGTTGTGATGACGTAGCTATCGCCGACCCGGAAGCATTTGGCAACCCATTCACCATCGTATACAAGTGTACCAACAGCACAGAGGCTTTCCTGTGACAGCTGTACATCATTTTCACCTGCAAATGAAGGTAACATTTAAAACAGTTTTATTGTAACGGTATTTAAAGCAAAACACACATAAACAGTATACGCTTATAAAACGAATTAATATTTACTGTGAAATCGGATATTTCGAGGGAAACAAATATCGTATTTTTCCGAAAGAAAATGTGGGTACATCAATTCGTGGATTACGAGTACCCCCTAATACGGAAAATTGCTTTATGTCTAACTTGCAACTACCTCGTGGACCTATGAATTCGCAAATGAAGAATACCCACGAAACCAACGAAATTAAAAACCCAACGAAAATTAGTTAACTGATATACTACGCAAGTTTAACGGTATTTAAGCAAATGCCCACAAAAAGGGTACATTCATAAAACGTATTAATATTTATTTTAAAATAAGTTACAACATATTTAATAAATGTCGCCTAACAAATGTCATACATGGTATAATATAAGCGTAAACATCCCCCTCTTGATATTGGCTTTGTGGTTTTACCGTTTTTAAGCTGAGAATTGTTGCAGTCAAGAAGCTTTACTCCTTGTCCGTAGAGACTTTCTAATCCAGCAGTACAGTTTATAGTCAAAGCAAGCTTTCCCATCCATATTTGCTTGGGTGTGTACTGTATGTTTATTGGGTGTATGAACCCAATTTTTGGTGGCAATGTGCATGCATCAAGTTTCACCGGGATAATCTGCTGGTGCAGACCATTATCTTTCTGCAAGTGAAGGTAAATTGCGACGTTCAATTCGTGTTCAACCCATAGAGATCCAAGAGATGCTTCAGACAAAAGGATGACAATTTTAAATGATTTTTTAAGAAATAAGTCTATATTGTCCACAATTGCAAGTCCAGGTAGGAAATCCCGGTCATGGACGCAACACTTCAGTCCGTACTGAGACTCCAGGTTTGACGCTATATCAAAAGCAATCTCGCTATCTTTTGAATTTGTCTTGTACACAATGTAGGCATGATATTCCTTTCCAGGTGGTAGCTCCACCGACGGTATGAGGCAAGCACTGGAAAAAGATATACGAGTTATTTTTTTTCTCTACAGAAAATGGAGTTCAATATTAGAAACAGGAATGACACTCTATAGATACCATTGCTCTTGAGGCTGGCTTATAACCCCCTAATTTGTTATCCGGGCACCTGAAAGATAAAATAGATACATACTGCAACCTAGAAAACATGAACAATGCTCATAATACACCAACCATACTGATTCCATGGATCTATTTTAGTAACAATGACCGCTCCTACTTGTCAACGGTTTATCTTAAGGTTAATCATACTAAGAAGTTTCATTAAAAATTGTCCAGAAGTACGACCGCTTGAGTGATGAATTGAGTGCGAGGGTAAGCAGCTTTTTCAGTGATGGTAACCTGACCATTTGACAGATCACACTTATACTCCAACTTGTACATGGTATGTTAAGGATAAGCATACTTGTGGAGTTTTACTAAGTATCTGTGTAGTATCAAAGATCAATATCAGAGTAGTACAGGGAACGTAAGATTAGGTGTAGTAGAGACTACCACAAAGATCTATATCAGAGTAGTACAGGGAACGTAAGGTTAGGTGTAGTAGAGACTACCACAAAGCTTAATATCAGAACCAACAACCAACGCTGCTCCAAAGTAGATTTCCCTGAGACAAGACACTTTATTACGTCTAGCCATAGTTGAAAAAGACATGCAGGTAGTTGCCACATACCATTACCTGACCTTGAACGAATCAAGACGGCGTACTAAGAATATGTCTTCGATCATCAACCTACACACCCGCTACCCGCAAGGTATGAATGAACGATAAGCGCTTGTTCTCATTTCATTTCACTTTTCGGCAGGTTAATGGTTCATTGATATTAGTCTGCTGACTCACAGACCTTCTGCTACATGTCAGTGTATGAGGCTGGCAGGCGTTGTCAGATTTAGTGGACGAGTTGTCTGTTTCCCCGTGTATTGTAAATTTCTGCAATTTCGTCACTACTTTGTAACACTTATTTCTTCTACGCCCAATAATTTTGTAAATATTTATCCTTCGGAATGTTAGATATTCACCAAATATACACCTGTTAAAAATGTTATTTCGAGGGATTTTACTCCAAACTTAACTTTTCATCACTGGAATTGTGGTGATAAATTCTTTTTGACAGATTTATTTTTAAGCTTCACCATTTCATTTATCAGGTGAAGGTTTCCCGTTATTTTCTTATGTCTTTTTTGTTGATCGCGCATACGCAGTACAACTGGTCAACAATGCATTCAGTGTAAGTTCTGCGTTGGCTTGAGCTTGCCAAGGAGATCATTTCTTTTAAAGGTGGGGTCAACATCTGGCCACCACTTTAATTTCTTTTATTTTTTTGCCATATGTAGATTCATAAAAATGATCAATAACTGCATAAATGATTATTCATAATTATTGCTGATAACCGTAGTGGACCCCCTTGCATAATACCAGGTTGAGTGACGGGGGTATCCTAACAAAATGACAGATATGTGTCACAGGCGAATGTTGTTTTGAAAATGAATTATGATAGTGTACAGTGTATATAATTACTGGTTTTTTATACTAAATATGTCATATTGGTATACATGAAGTAAGCGTCGTTTAATTAGAAAAACATGCAAAATGTTCACTAAATTTAAAATATAACCTACATTGTCAACTTGCCTATATATAGTTACAATGGTAGTCTATATTTTAAACTTCTTTAAAAACTTCCCATATATATTCTGTCTACAGAATTATTTGTATGTAATCAAAACCGGTAAAGTACTTTTTTGAGCATGCCAAACATGATCAAAGGTCAATTTCACATAATCATGGAGATTTGATTATCAATGTTTATCAAGGTTAATACCGATACATTTTCTGTTTTCGTATAATACCAAAACACTTTGATATAACACAATATTTTAAAGTTATGTGCAGTAATAACAACTCATGAATATGTATCCTGCCAAAGTTATATTTCCTCTGGAAAACTTCTTAAGGTTGAGATTGTGTTATAAACAAAGATATGCAGTTATATAAAACAATAAAATAATCGTAATAGTAAAACTATTATAAACTTAAGTATACCCCCCGCAACTGGAATCAGCTTGTCTGTACGTCTGTCCGTCCGTAGAAAAAGTTTGTCCGAACAACTACTTCTAAAGAAATGGACCAATTTCAACGAAAGTTTCCAGATATGATAGCTACCACATGAAATTGTGCATCCAGGTATTACTTTTTTCATTCTGACCCTTATTTTACAAAGTTATGGCACTTTGTTGAAAAATCATTGTCCGGACATGTCCTCCAAAACTAAGGGTTAAATTTCAACGAAAGTTAACAGATTTGATAACTACTACCTGTGTTGTGCATCCAGATTTTCTTTTCAATCTGACCCCTTTTTACGGAGAAATTGCCCAACTCCTCCAAAATTATGACGCCAATTTCAACGAAAGTATACAGATATGGTAACTGCCCCCTGACATTGTTCATCCAAGTAATACGTTTTCATTCCGGCCCTTTAAAAGGAGTAATGGCCCTTTGTTATGCCAGTAACCTATATACTTTAGTTATTACTGATAGAAGACTATGGATTTGCCTTTGTAAGCCTTTAGCTTACAGTTCTGGTTTATATAGGAGTTGGCGTATAAGTTAACCTTTGGCGTACAGTTCTAGATATTAATTTTCTTTGCCTATTAGCTATTCATTTAACAAAATATGAAGGAATATTACATTATTTTATATCGTTTACTTTAAAGCAAGGAAAGATATCCTTGTCTGACTCCCAATACCAACAGTTTCTCTTAGCAAATTGATTTTTGTGACCTTGAACGAAGGTCAAGGTCATCAACGTTTACAAAACTTTAATCAATTCACATGAACAACCTACTTGCCAAATATCAAGACCCAAGGACCTTTGGTCATTAAGAAACACAAGTTGAAGGAAAAGTGGAAAGAAAGCTATGTTTTTTCCTTATTTTTACCCAAAAGTGTTATATGACAAATTTACCGGTTGTCAATGTTTATGAAATTCCTGATGCTGAAATATATTATTGGTAGCCAACTTTTAAGCAAGTATTTTTACATTCTTTTTTTGCTTAAATCTTCAATAAAATGAACAATCCATTCTTGAAATTGTGTAATATTTGGCATCAAAATAACTGCTGGAATATGTTGCACACAATGATGATATAAGTTTATAGTAATTGTGTCATTTAAATGCTCTAGGAGGAATTGTATTACCGCACTTTTAACACCCAAACAGGTGTAAGTCAAAGAGGTCCTATTTATCATAAAATGAATTCTGAAACTAACTGTCCCTGATTTAAGCTTCCTTTACACATTCCTTTTTGGATTATCTTGTTTTAAAATTCCAAGCGGGGGCCAACGCTAATGTTAAATCTCCATCGGCGTTGACCGTACCTTTAAGCTACATTATATATCCTATTTTATCTATATTTTGTTCCTTATTTTTCTGAGTCTCGATAAAAGGGCGGATCGCTCCGAATAATTGACATCTACTTCATTGCTCCATTCTACCGAGAAATATGTCGGGTATGCTATTGTGCTATTGTGAGTAGCAATGCAATACATACACACATGATATAAACACTCGTTAGGTTATACACATGTATAAATAAATAAATATGGAAATTCCCAAAGCCTTACCACTTCCTGGTAGCATATATAGCCCTCACGCCTAAACTCGACTTAAGACGGTTTGTTAAATCATCTTAGGCTTAGCAAAATTAATTACCATAATTTCAAGACAAATGTTTTCGTCATGAATGTGATATGTTTTGTTTCATTCTTTCATTTGATCTATTTCATTACATAATGTTCAGCCGATCTGTTTTCTAAATGCTAAAAATGTATTCTACAAGACACATTTATCATGACTCAAATAACTCTTAACATTTCAACAACATCATTAATTTCAATAAGAAATGAACAAAGGTTGGAGTTTTAACAGTAAGAAGACTTCTTATAATATAACTTTGCATTGAATATAGAGTCAATAATATTTAAAACGTTTTGTTCAGCTTGGCAAGAAGCATAGTGAAGAACAGAAAACATTCTCGTTAACTAAAAATTAAAAGACCTGGGTGTATGGGTGTAAAAATTTCCGGCAAAATTTTTCCTCTTTCCCTATTATTTTTTTTACAATATTTGTTATGTTGTATCAAAAGGCATGTAAAAAGAATCAAACACAACAGGAATTATTCTAATAGAGTAACATTTGTCCTGGCAATGCCGGAAAGCCTTTCCGGAATATTCCTGTGACGGTTTTTTTTTCTTACATAATAACAAAACAAAAACATATTCCCGTACACTTCAACACCGTTCTTAACTTATTGTATAGGATATAATAATTATCAGTAAACATATATTAGTAGAGATGTTCGAATATAAACAGGAAAAAACACTCACGCCATTTTGTTGTTTCGGGATGGAATTCCTAACAGTTCAATTTTTACCCCCATTACTATATATATATAAAATACCAAGTAAACGTCTACTGTTTTAGGTCATAAAAGAAAGGTAAATATATGGAACTTTAAACACAAACCATCAGCTGAGTCACTTTATAACCCAACGCGGAAGTATGCTATGTCTATGTGACTACGGAGAAGGAAGAGACCATTCTAAGGCAGTACGCTTACAGCTGTCTACTGTAATACCTTGTTTCATTGGTTACAGTTACTGTCATCGCAGGTTTAATGAAGTACATGTACACCTGCTGTCGTATCTGCATTATAGGGTACACCTACTGTCACACGTGGTAAATAGAGTTAACCTACTCTTATAGTTGGTTTATGCAGTACACCTTATATCATATTTGGATTAAAGGGTACAACTACAGTGTACTGTCATATCTGGTTTATAGAGTACACCTACTGACATATCTGATTATAGGGTACACCTACTGTCATATCTGGATTATAGGGTACACCTTCAATCGTTTCTGGTTGTATAGAGTGTAACTCCTGTTACATCTGGTTTAATAGAGTACATTTACAACTGTATCTGGTTTTATATAGTACGCTTACTGTCATATCTGGTTTATAGAGTACACCTTCTGTAATATCTGTTTTAAAAAGTACATCAACTGTCATATCAGGTAAGTAGATTACACCTTCTATCATATCTGGTTAAAAGAGTACACCTACTGTCATATTTGGTTTATAAATTCACCTACTGTCATATATGGTTTTTAACGGTACACCTACAATGTGTACTATCGTTTCTGTTTTCTTAGAGCATAACTTCTGTTATATCTGGTTTTATAGAGTACACCTACAATCGTTTCTGGTTTTATAGAGCGTAACTACTGTTACATCTGGTTTAAAAGGATACATTTACAACTGTATCTGGTTTTATATAGTAGGCTTACTGTCATATCTGGTTTATAGAGTACACCTTCTGTAATATCTGGTTTAAAAAGTACATCAACTGTCATATCAGGTAAGTAGATTACACCTTCTATCATATCTGGTTAAAAGAGTACACCTACTGTCATATTTGGTTTATAAATTCACCTACTGTCATATATGGTTTTATAGAGTACACCTACAATGTGTACTATCGTTTCTAATTTTTTAGAGCATAACTACTGTTATATCTGGTTTTATAGAGTACACCTACAATTGTATATTGTTCTATAGAGTACGCCCACTGTCATATCTGGTTTATACAGTACGCCTTCTGTAATATCTGGTTTATAGAGTACACCTACTGTCATATCAGGTTAGTAGATTACACCTACTGTCATATCTTGTTCATATGGTACACTTACAATCGTACCTTGTTTTAAAGAATACACCTTCAATTGTATCTGGTTTATAGAGTACACTTACTGTCATATCTGGTTTACAAAGTACATCTACCGTCATATCTGGTTAGTAGATTACACCTACTGCCATACATGTATCAGGTTTAAAGGGAACAACCTTCTGTCATATCTGGTTTATAAACAATATGGTTTATATAGTACTACAATGGTCATATCAGGGTAATATAGTACATCTAGTGTCATATCTGGTTGATAGGGTGTACCTACTGTCATATCTAGTTTATAAATGTAACCCGGGTATATATATGATATATATATATATAGTGTGTGTATATATAAATTACAACAAGTGCTGTCAACTGGCTGTATACACGTGTGTTGACCCGTCTGGTAAACAGTGTACGTCATCAGTTCGGAATGTATGTACCTGTGTTGTTATGTTCTGTTCCAACATTCTGCCTAAATTGTACACCCACGTAAGGGAACGTTAGCGTAAGGTTAAGGCAGGTTAGCTTGACGTATTTCAGTGTTCTGGGAGGGGGTTTTCACCGTTATAGAATAGTTACATTTACCTATAGGCCTTATTTTACCATGTGTGGGCTAATTAATACATATAGGTTCACTTCACTTCATTCTTTTCTCTTCACTGTAGGTTTTGTTCTGTCTTGTGTTGATTGATTTATAACTCGAATACTCCTCCACATCTGTCGGACCTGTGTCTGACTGTACAGACGGACGCAGCGGGACATTATTGGGGATTGCCGCAGGTCAGTTTGTCGGTAGTTTTGGGGAAAACCTAAATTACTATACGATCACTTACATCTGCCGATACTGGACAGGCTCTCCCCACGGACGTCCTATTACACCATGTTATATGTATAAATTGTTTTGGGTGTAAGGGTAGCTTAATGTCGTCGTTGAAGGTATGTGTTAGTGACGCGCGGACGGAGGTAACGTGTAGACCATACAGTTACAGCATAGACTATGGTTTGAGTCTGAATTACGTTTGTTTGTTGATATATACATATTATCACTACGGGTACGTTATACACCACATCGTTATAACTTAAAATATAGGGTTGTATCGTGACAAATATCTTTCTATTAAATTGTTAAATGTGAATATATGCTAAATGTGAATATGTGTGTAATTTTGTAAATTAGTATTAAATAATACATGATTGAAGAAATCTTGTAGACAGGGGGCTCCCAAACCACTGAATAGTTCTCGATTTATGGTATATGCTGGTGTACCAAAATATATATGAGAGTACCTTGCAGGTAGGGGGTTCTCAAACCACATGGTAGTTCTCAGATAGATGTGACCTTTTTCAGGTTTGATATTTGTGTGAAGTTTATGTGTTATCTGTTGTGTCGTGGTAGGTAATTAGGTGTAATTTTGAGGTTTAAAGAGATAACAGGCCCAATAGAGATACTGTTCCCAGATCATTTGGGTAGCCTGGAATCTTGTACCTAGCTGTATTATATATACAGTGTATATTGATAGTTACTGTGTGGTAGGTAGGTTATATTTAAGGAACCTTGTCGGTAGGGATTAGCCCAACCACTTGGCAGATAGTGATATACGTCAGGTAAATAAGAGTTCACAGGTGCATGTCTTGTAGGTAGGGGATGCCAAATCACTTGGCTAGCTTGTGCAATTCTGGTTGATCTTTTACATTTTGTTTTAATTTTTGTTTTGTCATTTTCTATATATAGTTGTATTTTGTGAATATTTTGTTTAAGTTAAAATGGCTGGAAGAACTCGTTCAACCAAGAAGGAGTTGAAAATGCTTGAGTCCTTAAGGGAGACGGGGAGGTATGTTATTACCCCACTTTCTGAGAAGGCAGTATGCACTCCTAAGGTTAGGCCACAAAAAAGATCCATATTTAGGGGATTTTAAGGATGAGGAAGATGAGGGATGACCATTGATGTTTGGCAATGATACTAAGGCCCATGTACTTAGTTTTTGCCTTCAATTTTGCTATGACATATTCCAGGGGTGTAGAGAGCGAAAGTGAGCGTAACCCTTGATATCGAGGATGTGGAGTAGCATAAGGGAGATAAATCTGTAGTTGTCGTTGCATGATCTATTGGGACACATTACATGCTTGTGGAATCATTTTAACATTTGTTGATCTCATTCTAGCGTGTTGTTGATAGAAATTTATCAGAGACACGTCTTTAACATACAAAGATTGATGTATTGGTAGTATTTGTATCCTGATACTTTGGATGGGTAAACATCGACCCCCGTTGTATCCACACATACAACATTTCAGTTATTGGCAATTGAGGGATAAACTCCCTCTACCCATACTTAAAGTGATTTTTTAATATTACCACTTTAATTCATTCAGAGAACCATTTGTGGTGCTGTGTTGGATGAGACGGGGTTCTTTCCTTTCCCTGTAATTTATTTAATATTTAATCCTCTTGATTTAGGGATAATGGGAACATTTTTTATTGAAATAATTTGGATCATTCTTGATAAGTTGATTTTTTAATTAAAATATGATGACGGACTCTGCACTCTAGCATAAGATCAATCTTCATGGATTCCATGATAATGACATAAGTACAACAGGGAAAGATCATGATTGGAACCAAAGTACTCGAAATTGTTGACGAATATCAGAAGCATCTGTGTTTCCTGACCAGTAATTACCCATCCCAGTCCCTTTACAATATATTTCATTTATTCACAATGGAAAAATTTAAAATAGAGATGGCCGGGAGTTGCGTAAGGGAAACAACTCTGTAGATATCCTGCAATGATGGAATATACATGCATAAAGCACTGACAAAGAAACGTTTTTATATAGTGAAATGAACTATAACACCATATTATAGATGAATATGTTGAAGCGCCATTGCTGTCGTCTGCTTCAGTCACTCGGAACTGAGTTATATTGGTACATGCACTTTTTTCTAGACAGGCTCCAAATGTGGGAAATATGACCGGGAATCACGAGCGTGTGGGGTCGAGAAGATGTTGTAGTTTTCCCTCGTGTGATCATTATATTCCAATCAGACACGTTATATAGGTGTGGTTTGATCACATGTGTGAAATATCACATGCTTGTTTAATCGTTTTTATCTTCGTTGACCTCATTATAGTGTAACACTATTTAGCTAATAAAACGGCAGGTACTTGTGATAAACAGGTAACACGTATATGTTTCGGTATCAAAGCATACATGGACTTTGGATTGGGGCGTTTCATCAGTCTAGCACACATATTGAGAGAAACCCAGCTCAAAGATTTACTGCGAAATACATTCACATATTAGCTTACAAATTATCTAACAATGTTACGGTCTATAAAACGGGTGTTTCAATCAGATTGATTAATCGATTCAATTCACCGATAATATCGACGCTATAATACAGAGATATCTGTATTGTAAATATTGGTGTTGTGACATTTTCGAAGAGGAAAAATGTATCGCCTGATAAATGTATTATACGCATTGGTTGTTTGATGGGTTAAAGGCGGATACGTGAATGATTCGTGTATTGTAAGTTTCGTGTAAATTTGGAGGAGGATACATTCACCGCTTTTATACCATGTGTAGGACGCAATCACATTTCTTTGACTAAGTGTTTTTATTTGAAATAATTTAAGAGCCCCTTTTTCCTACACGTACATAATATTATGCTGGTAATTGACTGCCTTTACTCTATTAGGCCTCCTCGAGTGGGAGGAAGTGCTCAAATATTAAATCCTTTCAGGGAACGGATGGTAGAACCTAGGTGTTCCAAACTGTTGACAGATGTCTTCACTAAT